AACGTGTGCAGTAGTGGCCAAGACTCTTAGGGGTTGGGTTTGTGTTGAAGGATTGTCAGGTGTGTGCACGCAATGTAACCGTTAGTACTTGTCGTTACTCTTCGGAAGGGGCGCCCATTCTTGTAGACCCGAGCAGCAGTGAACCAAAACGCCTTTGGACCTGTCCATTGATCTCCGCTAATTCCACGGCGGCTCAAAACCAGACACTCCAAAAGAAGGAGGCTCACTCGCCTCAAGAACCTTCCCTTCGGGGGCATCCGAAAACAACGATGCCACAACGCTGAAAGATGCAAACCAATCCTTTTCGTGACCAAGGGTGTCCCCACCTCGAGCGATCCTTTGCAGCGTTATCATGCGTTATCCAGGGTTTTGCATAACCCTTGAGCCGATCGCCCAAGATCTGGAGTTGCGCCGCCTGAACCAGTTTTGTCGCTCGTCGCAGCTCCAGTATGCTCCAGTGTTGAAATCAATGCTAATGTGATCGGTCTTTCTTTCTTCCTGTGCGATAGAGTCGAAGTACGACGCACGCCTAGCAAATGAATTCAGATGAAACACCCGCCGAAAAGAGGTGGCGGTCCCCTCAAGATAAGCCTCCGCTGACTTCCCGATGACAACTGCGATTGCGCTAGGCGCACAGTCTAAAAGTCCAAAGGAAGGCGGGAGGCGTATTCACAAATCAGAAAGACGGAAGGAAAACACAACAAAACCGCACTGCTCCATGAACTACCACGAAAGCAGTGAAAGGGGCGAACCGCCAAGAAGTGGCTGCAAGCATCATGTGGCCTTGACGTAGTATGCCTCATCTTTCTGCGTGGAGCTTCTGCGCGTGCCCTCACATCGGCAATCGTGAAGGCCTCAACGTCTGAGGTGAGGGTCTTGCCGGACAGCATCGTCATGAGGAATTGCATGCCGCCAACCAAGCGGGGCAGCAGGTGGAGCGTCGACTCCTCCTGGACGGTGTAGTCTGGAGGCGTGCGGTCTCCAATTGCTTGTCCACAAAGATGAGGCGCGGCTGATCCGCAGGGAGGCTCACCGTGTAATGGATCGCCTCCTTCACGCTGTCAGCCGTGGACGCTTCAACATCCGAATCTTCACGAAGACCAGCATGCCACCATACAGAGGCTTCTGGACACTACAGTCTGGAATCGCGCGGCCTTTCTCCAACATTCTCCAACATTTTGCCCGCCGAGTCCTGGTTGCCAAGCGTGTTAACCTCAGCATCCAAGGTGTTGGGTTTGCCGAGCAGCATTTTCACGAAGAAATGCATGCCGCCGCATCGACATGGCACCCGGTGAAGTGTTGACTCCTTCTGGACATCGTCGTTTGAGAGCATGTGGCCGTCCCCCAACTGCGTGCCTGCTAAGATGAGGGGTTGCTGATCGGGTGGGACAGTCACTGTGCCCCGGATCGTTGCGAACGTGGACTTTCTCAAACCCACGTAACTCCCGGAGCTCAAAAAAATTGGGAGGATAAGTAAGCGGTTTTGGCGGATTGAGTGGACCTCCACTTCCTCCAAAGCCTGCATTCATGGCCTGTAGGCGTTGTCACTTGCCACCCTTGTGGCCTCAAACTCAGCTTGCAACGCACGAGCATATGTGGTCAAACTGGAAAGGGTTGGACTTTGATAAAGAGCGCACTGAATTCTCACAGTGTGGCATGGTTGTAAGGCAGCCTTCAAATGAACCTGCGCCGGCAACGCGGCGCCCATTTGCACTGTACGACCAAACCACCGGAACCACTTCCGCAGACGTGAAACCGGCGTTGGCGAAGCCTTTCACTGGCCTTACGCGGTCCCAGACCTGCCACTGCTTGCCAGGAGCCGCTGGCGGCCGCCTCGGCCTATGCTTGAACACGGCGAAAAAATGTGCCAGCCAGGGGGGTCCGTTCCCAACCCTTTGTTGGTGAGAACACAGGGGCCTGGGAGCCCGCCGCTGCCAAGTTGCTTGCTCGTGTTGCCCGAGCCGCTGCGTTGCGTCAGGGGGTTGCCGCTGCAGCTCTACAGGACCAGCTGCTGCAGGAGTTGTGTGTTGTCATCCGCTCCAGTCATGGCCGGTCAGTGCTCTCTCGGCGGGCCCTGCCCGCGCCCGTGGTGGCCATTGCCCACTGAGTGCTGCTGAAGTTTCTTACCAGCCCGCCATTGCAGACTAGTGGGCCAGCCCCACATGCGCTTGTCTTTTGGTACAAACACTTCCTTCCGACTTTCTGCAGGCCTACACATGTGCTCGCAGGTCGCAGGTTGCGTGCTTTCTTACTGGGGGTGCCCTGCCCGAGGGCCACTAGCTTCAACAGCCGGCGTCCGCTTGCGTCTGTCACAAGCTCTGCAGCCCATAGTCCAGTCCGCGCCCCTCCACCGTCGTCGTTTTCGTAGCTGATTGTTTGGCCTGTCAACCACAAGGGATGGTGTGGCCGCGTGTAAGGCGTAAGTCCTTGGTTCAGGCCCTTTCAGGCTTGTCAGCAGCAGCGTCTATGTTTGAGAAGTCAGCAAAAAGAAGAAACTCATGGCATGGCTGCGCGTTCCGTAGTCCGCCTCCGGTGAGAAGCGGCGACGGCGGGTGGCTCCTTGCCACCTGTGAGTCCAGTCCCCTCATATCCTCCTGCTGAAAATATCGGATACATGCGGTCTTCACGGAGCCTAACTCTCAATCTGTCGCTTGACCCATTTCCTCACCCGGCAAGCTCAACACACGTCCCAACCGTGTCCCAACAAACCCGACTCACTCATACGCGGAACCCTGACCCGAAGCAGCGGACTTCATTGTAGTCTTTTCCTCCAACTTATCCAGCCCTTGCCATGCAAAAACAACCAGCAAATCGCGCATGCTTTCCAGGATGCCTATCAGCTTCAATGCCTGGTTCAGCGACGCTCTCGAAGAAACTGCACGCCCTTCTTGAGGATTCAGACCTTGAGAGGTCTGCTCTACCTGATGCGTAGGCACGTCAGATGGCCCTGTTGCTGCAAATTCATCACTTTGTCGCACACTCGCCAACTGCTGATCCAACTCTTCGGCATGATCCCCCCAGCGAGGCCTTGGCTCGCTCATCCTTCAATTCAGCGCGCATGCTCGATCCAGAAAGGACACGGTCTCATATCAGCAGGATCTCTAGCGGCTGCAGGCCCCTAAGAGAAGCCATGGCAAGGACACCCGTGGCGCCCCTAAAGAACGCAAGGCTGTTAACCTACAGGCGCACCTTCAAGTTCTTGTTTTCTTCGAGTCGAAAAGGTTTCAGCTCGACCTTGGGACTGCAGAAGCCAACACTAGCCGGGAAGAAGGATTTGGGAATCTGCAAATGGAGGCTGCCACCTGGATTACAACTTGACACGTACATTTGAATATAGTATCTAGCAGCAGCAAGTTCCCCCACCTAGTCGTAGGCAACATTGGTTAGCATACTTACTAGGTTTCCGTTCAGAATCGGCTTGAAAGCTGAGTGCTGAGAGGCGGCCATTTGGGCATTGCCAGCAACAGGTGTGTTCTTGAGTGCTCAAGGGCATGTCTGCCCAGGGAAAGTGCTGGTGAGATGCCGTCAGTCAGGCTGGCGGCAAGTTGGCCGGGTCCGAAGCTGGCCAAAATGAAGGGCAGATTACCGAGAATTGCAGGGTGTTAGACTGTTAGACAGGCTCAGCAGGTGCCTCACCTTTGCAATTGCTGGCTTTTCTCACAGGGATGAACAGTAGAGCTTGAGGCCCCCCCATTAATGTCTGCAGACTGGAGGCCCAGTGCCGCACGTTGACGCGGAGAGCTTTCCTGCAAAAGGGCACAAACAAAGTTTCTGAACAACTTTTTGACCACAACTCTTGGGACCCTCCTAACGCCTTCCTGAAACCTGAAACCCTGCAGATCGCCCGTCCCTTCACCCCAAAAAGGCATGCGCCAATTGCCTTCGCCCGAGCGATTTTGCCACATGTCTTGTGATTGTTTGCAGGCTTGGAAGTGGAGATCGCCAGGCTATCAGGAAGACGTTTCAGGGATAACCCTGCTGGACGAGCGCATTTTTCACCAGTGGCAACAAGATCCGTTGCGCTTTGGAAAGGAAGGCTTCTGGCACAATGTGCCATGAAATAGCTTGAGCTGGACCAGCCGAGTTGGAAGGTACTTCGGAAGTACCGCAACGGACATGGGCCGTGTTGTTCGTCCATGTTTCTGTCTCTGGTTGGGTTAGTGCGAGCGTACGAACGCGTACGAACAGTAAATGCTGTAGCATGCATATAGTCGTCTTGTTGTCATGAAAACCATGACCGTGAATCCGCAGCCTTTCAGGTTCCTTGCCTAGCAGTGTAAAAAGTGCGCGATTGTATTTTGAGCCCAATACGATACCAACTGCGTAGCCCCGCGCGCATGGTCACGCGGAGCTGAAAGCATCCAACACGACAGAACAACAGCGGGGCCCTGGGTCAGCCCGACCCTGGCCGCCGCCACCTCCACCGCCTCCAAGGCGGAAGAACACTGCAGACAAAACCGCCTCGGCCAGCAAGCCGAAAGCAGAGCCTGCTACCTTCGACCTTCAGAAAGGCAAGGTTTCCAAAGGCAAACGGAACAAAGGTTCCGGCAAAGGCAAGGCGAAAGGCACAAGTGCCGTCAAGGGACACGTCCGCAAACGCGATCCCCAAACAGGCAAGTGTGTTCGCTCAAAGAAGAGATCCGTAGCTGCTGAAAACAAACGTGCTCTGAAGAAGCGCGTCCACCAGCTGAAAGCACAGATCCAGCAAGAAGCACGCTCATCAGAGAATCGGACTGCCCATTCGTCACCTGATACTGCGCCAGTGGCATCTAACAGCCAGTCCCAAAAGTCGCCCGAAGTGTTCTCTTCTTCGGACGAATCCTCCTTGAGCGTTTGAGCACCCTCCGGTTTCAAAGCCGTAGAGTGGTTGCACTTTGCACCTTGCACCAATCCTGAAAGGTTTGAGCCAGGTCCTTTAGGTTACGATAAGGGGTTAAAGCCGTTTGGTTGATTAAACTCCACGACAGTCATTGCTTGTCCTTTGCCCAGACAAAGCTGCAATGGCAAATCTTGAACAACAAGTTCAAATGTTGACCAGTCAGATGCAGCAGCTGACTTTGCAACTCGGCTCTCAACAGCAGGAGCTGGGCAACACACGTGCTGCACTCGAACAGCAAACCCAGGCGACTAATGCCGCTTTGTCGGTGGCACAGGCCGCCATTGCGCAGTTGACAGCGAGCAACCAGCCAACGCAAGCTGTCGACTCCACACGCAAGCCACTAAACCCCAAATTGGTAAAGGCTCCAGAACCGTTTCTGGGTACCGAAGCTGATTGGGAACGTTTCAAATTCGGTTTCACATCATGGATCGGGACTGTGGATCCTGAATACCCGCAGTTGCTGAAGGAAGCAGCTTCGCAAGCAGAGGAAATTGATTCTGATCCGATCGAAATGACGGATCAGGCCGAAGGTTTTTGCACGGATCTATTTGCCATTCTAGTTGGGTTGTGCCAGGCCGGCGAGATCCCAGCTATGGCAATGTTGGTGCCTGAACGCAATGGGTTTGAACTTTGGCGCCGCGTGCATGCACGGTATGAGCCAGAAAACAAGCACAAACCGTTCGCATGGTTGCGCGCGCTGTCAAATCCGACCTTCCCAACCAAGGAAAGCTTGTGGCAACGGGGCCTTGAAGAGTGGGAAGGAGAAATTGCAAAATACGAACGTGAGTACATGAAGACGTTCGATGCGGATCTGAAACTTGCCATCCTGTCGGAGGTGGCGCCCAAAGCGCTTGCGCCGCAAATTGCCATGAATTCGGCGAGCTTGTCTACGTACAAAACTCTTCGCGAGTTCATCGTCCAGTACTTGAAGTCCAAAAACCTGTGGCGGCGCAGTGCAGGCACGACATTCGGATCTGCTTCTGCATCATCAGCTCCATACTCTGGGCCAGCACCCATGGAGATAGGAGCAGTCGACGTTGCAGACGCCAAGCCCCATAAAGGCAAAGAGACTAAAGGCGGTAAAGGTGGCAAGAAGGGTAATCCAGATAAAGGGTTAATAGGTTCCCCGGCGAAAGGTGATGGTAAGTCAAGAGACAATCGCAAGGGTGACCCCAGCGGCAAATCTGGCAAGGGGGTCCCGTGTGCGATTTGTGGCCCAGACAAGGGTAAGAATCACACCACTCGGCTCAGGCTGTTGAGGTCACTGAACAGGTTGCTGCAACATCCTCCACCAAGTACGTCCTTCTTGATTCCGGTGCCACGACCAGCTGCGCAAGTGATCAGTGTTTCCCTGATGCAACGGTCGACGCCACACGGCAAAAGGAACTGTGGGCCATCAATGGCACGCCCATTCGACACAAGGGTGAACTGACCGCCCCCACGGCCATTCCCGCAACGGATTGCTGTGGCGAGCCTATCGCAATTCCAGCTTCTTTTCGAATGGATGTCACTGATGCCACAGAGCCGGTCATGGCCTTTTGCCGAATCTTGGATGACGCTGATTGCGACCTCCACTTTTATCGGACATCTTCTGGCAAGCCAGCGCACATAGATACCCCAGATGGTCATACCATCATGTTGCCAAGATTCGGTGCCAGGTTTTACATGCCATATGAAAACAGGTCCCCCGGTAGTGGTACAACAGAGTTCGTTGTGGCTGGAAACGATGGGGATGAGAGCCCCAGTCCCATGCATTACTCTCCCACTGAGCCAGGTTCCGATGCAGGCGCCGGCACGTCCGAGCCCGATGCTCTCGAGAATGCAGATGTGGAGTGTGGGAAGGAACATGCGCCGCCGCAGCCAGCAGGTCTTCCGATGCCGGATGCCCCATCCGACGAGCAGCGTTCTCGCCACAATTTAACTCATGCCGACTTTGCAGCGTGGTGCCCGCATTGCGTAGCCGGGAAGGCTGCTGATTCCCAGCACAAGCGCAAAAACAAGCACGAGGATCCCCAAATTCCCGTACTACAGGTCGATTATCAATTCTTCGGTCGCGATGGGCAGCTTGTTGCAGAAGAAAGCAAAAAGGCCACAGTCCTGACAGGAACGGACTTGTCTTCCGGATGGCCCATGATGGCATTCGTGCCTCACAAAGGGATAGAAGCGTGCACGGTGCGTGCATTAACTTCTTGGGTTAAACGTTTGGGGCACCCGAAGGTGGTCCTCCAGCACGACCAAGAATCAGCATTGCGCACTGTCGTAGATCAAGTCCAAAAAGAACTGGGACACGATCATGTCCAAGTGCGAGCGGCCCCGCGGTACAGCCATGCCAGCCAAGGTGGCGCTGAGAACGCAAACCGCCTTATGGCAGGCATGCTGCGCACGTGGCTCAGTGCCTTGAACGAAGCATACCCAAATCCTGCCGAACCGCTGGACATCAACCATCCCGTGGTCCCATGGCTTTGCCGTTGGGTTGCTTTCGTTTGGGCCAGATTCCATGTGCAGGCCGACAACATGACACCGTTTCGCATCGTGTCTGGGCGTGACTACGCCGCCCCCATCGTCGAATTTGGGGAGGTCGTTTTGTGCAAGCTTCCGGACACCAAGTCCCTGAGCAAAGCCAAACCTCGGTGGTTTAAGGGGTTGTTTGTTGGTCGGTTAGAGGTTGATGATTTGACGGATGCTGGTGCAATCACTGTGCGCTCGGTCAGACGTCTGCCGCTGGCAGATCAGCATGACGTAGCTTACCTCAATGCAGCTTGTGGTTTGCCCTGGGCGCCCGCAGGCAAGCGAACAAAGGTACGCACGGAAAGCAGCCAAATTGTGGCATTGCCTGCCCCACTTGTGTCGGAAGCAAGCCAACCGCCTCTGAGCGTTGAGCCGCCGGCTGTTTCAAAAGACGCGCTGCCCGTTCCTCCTATCATGCCTGATGTGGTTGTGCCAGACCCCAGTGAGTCTTCAGCAAACGTTCCCGGAACACCGCTGTCGGAACCGCGCGGCATGACACCGGACAGCGCAGAGAACATGGCCATGACTCCTCCCACAGCGCCGTCGCCGTTTCAACTGGAAGCGCCAAGTCCAACTTCCCCTTTCCGGGGAGCTGGTGCTGCACCCATCCCACGTGTTCAAGCAAGCCCTACTGGCATCAATGCTGTTCCATTGCCTCCACCTGTTGTGCTGGAAACGTGCCCTGCTCCGGAAAGCAGCGAGCCTGCAACATCCAGCGAGGCTGCGCCCAAAGTGCAGCGTGTGGGAACAATCAGTGACGCATTGTCTCAAATCCAGGAATGGGCACGTAGTGGTCAATGGGAGCAGAAAATATCATCAGTCTTAGATTTGCTGGACACTCAGTTGGATCCGCGCGAAGTGGAAAAAGCCAGGGATGTGCAGATGGCGACCCTTGTGGAAAAGCAGTTTGCCACACCGAAACTCAAATCCGCAATTCCGCGCAAATGCAAACTCTTCAACTTCAAATGGGTTGATGAAATCAAGCGCGGTGCATATCGTTCGCGTTTCACTTGTGCAGACATCACGAAGCGGTATTCAAAAGAGGAGCTTGCCGAAGAAATCAACACATTCGCCCCAACTCCGTATGAAGAATCACATGTTCTTCTAGAGCTAAAATGCCTCAAAAACGGCTGGCATTCACGCTCCGGAGATGTTCGCTGCGCATATTTGTTGGGCACCGACTCGGGTGACAGCAATGGCAACCCGGTGTATGTTCGCATGCCGCCTGAGTACGTCCAGCATTTTCACACGTGGTTGGCAGCTCAAGATGCCAAGACGAAAGCCGAGTTCGTGGGAATATCCGATGCGGACTTGTGCAAACACGTCGTCCTGCAGCTCGATGGCAATTTGTACGGCAGAAGGCCTGCGGGCAGCAACTATCGTCAAGAGTTCGAGAAAGTCGTCGCTGACAAACTGGTTTCGCATGGTTACCATTTTGTGCGTGGCAAACGTGACCCTACCGTTTACACCTGCAGCAAAACAGATGCGACATTGCTGCGTCACGTTGATGATGTACGCATGGGCGCGTTCGATGCAGATCTCAATTTCCTCCAATCCAAAGACGGTTTGGGAAAATACCTTGACATGAAGAATGGGGATATCGAAAGGCCAGGCACCAAAGTGAATGTTTTAGGGCGCACGAAACTCCGCACAGCAGATGCGTTTTTCACGCTGCCCGACAACAAGCATCGCGACAATGTTTTGACACTCCTCGACCTTTGGAACGCAAAGCCATCGAAAGTCGCAGGACATCGCATCCCTCACACAGAAGAAAACACGCAGCCTGTTCCCCAAGTGCGTTGGTTCCCTTATTTATTTGAGCATCGATCGTAGAGACATACGGTTCGAAGTGAAGGAACTTGCTCGTCACATGCGTTTTCCGCGTGAGGTGGATTGGAGCAACCTCACCACGTTAGCACGGTACTTGCTGCACAAACCAGACCTTGCAAGGGTCACCACCTTGAACCCTGAAAGTTTGTCATCTGGAGTTCTGACCCTTGATGGTTTCACGGACTCAGATTGGGCCGGGTGTGCTGACACTCGCCGCTCAACAGATTGTACCATCATCAATGTAGGAGGCAGTGTAGTTATAGCACATCCACAGACACAGCCTGGAACACCTGCTACATCATCAGGTGAAGCTGAAACTAGAGCATTGAGTCGAGGGGCGCGGGACATTATGTTCATCAAGCAGTTAGCAGAAACCCTGCAAATTGTTTAACCAAGCATTTGGATTCAACATTGAAGGAACAGTGTCTTCACGAATTGAGCATGGTTGACATGAGCACATCAGATTTGCGACAGGTTTTGCAAGACGCCGCGCAAATTGAGTTGGTAGCCAGCCTCATCGCAAGGCAAAGTGCGCCGAACAAGTTGACCCCTTGGAAGCCCAACTTTGCAGTTGCAGTAAATGCTTTGCAACTTTGCGCCGCGCGCATGTGTTACACCCACATCACTCAGGCTTAGGCCGTTTGAGGGATTGGGTCGCCCTCAGGCTTCGGCTTTCGAGCAAGCTCAGGCTTACACGCTTTGGAGCAACGCACGTTCTGACTTCGAAACTTTGGTTTAAGAACGCTGCACGGTGTCACCAAAGTCGAGCCTCATCTCAATTCGGTGGGGTGTTTCAAGTCAAAGCTCCAGCCTTTAAGGGGCGTGCGAGCGTACGAACGCGTACGAACAGTAAATGCTGTAGCATGCATATAGTCGTCTTGTTGTCATGAAAACCATGACCGTGAATCCGCAGCCTTTCAGGTTCCGTGCCTAGCAGTGTAAAAAGTGCGCGATTGTATTTTGAGCCCAATACGATACCAACTGCGTAGCCCCGCGCGCAGTTAGGGGAAAAATCCTTTAGGGCTTCTTCTTGGCAGCGGTGTTGTAGGGTTTTGTGGGAGGGCTCCCGCTGGGGCGCCGCGAATGCTGGTGGGCAGGATTGTGTGAGGAAGACAGGTCGGCTTTGCCAGGCTGTTTGGCGAATTTCTACCGCCGCTTGCTCTTCACGTGGCGTTCTCTGCCTTTCGCGGAAGGGGAGCAAGCCTAAGCAGCGCAGAAGAGCCACATGACCACGGCGCATTCGATCTATGAGATGATGGAGCCACTCTTCATGTTCGGTTGAGGCGCATTCTGTTTTTGATTTTTGTTGATGGTTGCTGGTGTTGTTGGTTTCTGGTTTGATTGAAAACGCACCAAATGGTAGGAGGCAGGACTTGGTAGCAGATGGCATGAACGATACACCATGCCTACGGTTTGTTGCGACGCTTGGTTTATCATGTGGTTGTATCAAGGCATGCCCGTCGTTGCTGTCCTCCCTCAAGCTGCGATATGTCAGCAACAACCCAATCTCCTCATCTTCTCATGCTTGGTTTCGGCTTTGGCCAATGCCCCGGGCTTTGGACGAGCAATGCGGAGATCAATGTTCTTCCACATCCTCAGTCTTTGCCTCAGCATAGGCTGTATGCACAGTCGGCCGATTGATGACATCAGCACATGGACACAGTATGGTGAGTCCGTGTGTTGGGTGGCCGCTGATTGGGAGGACTGCTGTGCGCCCAAGTATGGCTCCACAGGGAACCCTGAGTGTTGGATAGCGTTTCCTTTGTCTTACGAGAAGTGTTGTCTTGAGCGCTGGAAAGTTTGCGATGCAATTGCTGAGTTTCGGGAAAGAACACCAGCAACATCTTCGCTTTCGTCCTCATGGCTCATTTTCTATGAATCCTGTGGGCGAGGGCAAGAACTTCTAAATTTGCTTCAAAGACTTTGGAGTGCCGTCGGCTTCCTTTGCACATCGAGTGCCAGCATGAACAGCATAGAGCACGGAGCAAACGAAGCTTGCAGTGAAAAGGAGATAATGGAGCAAACGAGGGACATCAGGCAAGAGCTCAACACTCAAAGAAGTGCTTTGGACACAAAAGATTGGCTTGATGTGCTGGATGCAGTGCAGCTGCCTCACATCAACGAGTTGAATCTTGAACTTACCGACGTGGTCAAGGAATGGTCGCCCCAGAGCTTTGCTCAAATACTTCCAGAAACGGACTTCTCAATTGTGAATTTGAGAGAGAAGTTGCATGTCTTTCGGGATCACCTAGAGCAGTTCCGAGACTCCACGCTCAACGCAATCTACATGCACGACTCCTGGTTATCAAAGAGGCGCGCAGGCTGTGGTGAGATCTGCAATATCGATGGCACCGACGCTGAGCAGAACACTGGCCCCTTGAGAAAACGAGTGAACTGCAATGCGTTGCTCAACAGCATGGTCGCCAACCACACAGAATCCGTACCAGTCATACCCCCGCCAAGCATACCATCAAGCATGATGCCAGCATTTACCATGAATGGTCAGGTCGCAGTTCTGTCCCATTCAACCATTCGACAGGCCCTAGGATATGCCGGTGGAGTGTTTCCTGCCCCGGAGCAAGCTGAAGCGAATTGGATGTGGAGTCGTGAGGCCATCGAAAAGTTGATTGCTCAGGCCCGTGAATACAAGCTTACCCCTGGTCCCCATTCACTGGAGCGCGTCAAAACCTTGACGGATGTTTTGGCGGGCTTGCCCGAGATGGTCGGACAGCACTGGATAGTTTGGGGCGACCAGAAACATTTTGAATGGTGGAAGCCATGGATGGAAAGTCTTCTCCTATCGTTTGGTGTGGGGACTGTTTCTTCAATGGTTCCCATTCCTTCACGTTATGACGTCAGTTCGCCGCATTCGCCACATCCACAGCTGCGGCCCATCACTATGCAGAAGGCTGTACAGAATGCTCCATTCCATGGCGTCGTGCTCATGGGGGTGGCTTCAGCTGGAGTTGGCCGCCATGGAGACAATTTGAATCCCAACGAAGATCTTCAACAAGCCGCTGCAGCATGGTGTTTGTTGCAGAGTGGAGGCATCTTGATTGCACCAACCATGACCGACACTGACCTGCTTCGCTGGCCCCTAGGGCGAGTTTACGGCCCCAAACGATGGCCACACCTGGTAGCGAACTTTGAGCTACTCCGCATCTATGATGGTGTTGCTGCGGTTTTGCGGAAACCATAGCAACATGCTTGCACCTTTGGCAAGTCATCCCCTGCTCCCCCTTCTCTTTGGACTCCTCCGGACAGTATCGACAACGCAGCAGATCCACTGATTGGCTTCGTCCAATCTTGATTGGTGCAGCCTTGTAGAGGTGATCACCGCGGATCTGAACATCCATCACAGGCGCTGGACAAACCCGATATGCTTACGTATTTATTTGGATCCTGGTCTCTGTGACTTTGACCAGCGCGCGCGATGAAGAAGTTCAGGATGTGAACAGCGGATACGGCGCAGGACGGTTTGCATTGGGCTGTTGGTTGAACTTGGCATTCAATTGGTAGAGAGCGATGAAGACGGGTCGTGCACATAAACGCAATGGACCGCAGGAAATATCAAGATGGTTGACCCCTGCAACGGTGGAGGCCAATGGTCTCAAAAGGATAGCAGCCTAAAATAAGTGTGCAATCACTTCTCCACACAATGCTGTTCACAGTGCCATCAAGATTGCACTTTGGGTTTGACAAGGAACGAGCTTTCATCAATTAGGCCTTTGCAGCGTGAACTGTTAGCAGCAGAAGGAGACTAGGCTACCTTGGGAAAGTTGTGCTTGCATGGCAGTTTCGCAATGTTTCTCATGTCGCGGTATGTTGCCAGAACGGTTAGAGCGCTGGGCAGGGTGTTTCGCACACTGCCAAGTTGCAATGTGTATACCCGGATATCATGCCAGGCTGATAGCCAGGAAATTTCTTTGAAGAGAAGATCTACAGGTAAATCACGTTATCATGCTTGGATGCCATGTGTTGGAGTCGATGGCGTTACAAGGTCAGCTTCGGGGTCGCTTCCTACTTCCTGGCCACAAGCACCATCTCCGTACCACTTCCTTTCCCACCATCACATTTTCAGTCCTTCTGCTGGCATGCGATGCGGAAAGAGAGGGGATGAACCTTTTGTGATGAGTTGCTTGTGGCAAGCCAATATCAAGCCGAGTTTGCTGTCGCTGTCTGATGCCGCTGCGTTGTGCCATCGAAGTTTGAGAGCTCCGCCTTGCAAGAAACGAGGCGCCACCCTTCCTAGAGAACACGCAACTTGTTCTTAAGCAGGAGTTGGCTTTAGGATGGCAGCCAGCTACCCGATAAGCTGGACTTGGCTTTGCATGGTCAAATGCAGGATGTCGTCCTAGAACGCCCCAGACCTCCCTGTCCAAACCCGGCGTGAGCTTTGAATCAACCGCACAATAACTAGGATATCTATGCTGCCCAGAGCGTAAGACGATCGAAGAGATTGGTGGGCTCGCCGCCATGCTTCCGCTGCATGTGGAGCAGTGGGCTCAGTAATGCGGGCACCGGTTCGAAACACCCTTTGCAGCATGTCAATGTCATGTCAACCTGAGGTCGGAGCGCCCTTCCTTCATGCACTCGCCGTCGCTGTCAGAGTATTTGCGGCGAATGCTGCACTATGCGAAGGGCTTACGGACGCCATGATTGCACAGCGCATCTTTCATGTCAATTTCATGTCACGAGTGAGAGCGCTGGACCCGTCTGGAGACCGAACGATGCATAATGCGTGGCTGGGGGGGAAGGGATGAGGGGCACAGGCTCGCAGGACGGCCCCGTGCCAGCAGCATACTCTGGTTGTGCTTGGGACTGGGGTGCAGAGCCTGAAGCAGGGGGCACATTAAGTGAAGCTCGGAAACTCGCGCGTTCAGTCGCACAGCTTGGAGCCGGACTAGAGAAGAAACATGAGTAAACGGAACTGGTCGGGTGGTCGGGTGCATCTCTGCACTGAGGCGCAAATGGACATTGACTATACCTTCGCGCAGATGTTGTACTTGTGCATTGCGCCCAGGAGCACCGCCCTGCAACAATTCCCAACAGCTCCTACAGCTCCCACCCGGTTGCAAAAAGTATTGCACTTTGTTGGCCCTCGAGGAAAGTCTATCAGTTGACGTCATACCGAAAGCAAACAAAGAACCAATGGGATCGGGCCTTAGAAGAATCCCATATGTGGCTCTCTCCTAGCGCATGCTTTTTCGCGTGAGAAGAACCTGTGACTTTCAGAGAGCCTGAGGCGAGGGACGATCCAGCCTTCGTTGTGGCCAGGGGCTTTTTTGTCCTTGTCAGAAGAGACTTCGTGGCCAGGGCCTGCTGAAATAGTGGCGCCGTGCCAGGTGCTAGTGTTTTTCCTCACCGTCGCGGCCATCGCATATGGCATCGCCTTCCAAGCCACAGGCGGGCATGTTTTCGCTGCAGGCCTATATGTGAGAATTCACGCCCCCCGCTGCTGTAAGCCAAGGAACGGTGTTGTTGCACATTGTGCTTCACTTCGTCATCGGGCACTTCCTTGTGCTCGGAGTGTTGATTTCTAGTGTCCTTGACCTTACGAACTCGTCATCCCGTCATCGGGTATGCCGGCACCAAAAAGTGCGCACGACCGTTTCCCCCCTGTGTTGGGCAGATCGAGGTTTCTTGGTTCGTTGCGAACAACTATATGCGAGCGCAGTCCTTCCACGGCGTGGAGCAGAAGATGGACCTGCTGGCCTGTTATGTGTATAGGAGCCCCTAGAAAAAAGGCACTGAAGGGCGGAATGTTTCAACATTCAGCCAGCAATCCTACTTGCCAGGAGTGGATGTATGCATTTGACATCCATTGCAACTCCTTCTTTCCTCTGTTCCTCGTGCTGTACGCTGGGGCCTTGGTGCACTGATGGTACTTGGAAGACGGGGCCGTCGTTGGAGTCCGAATTCCGAAAGCATTGACATCAGATAAGGTGCTGCACTATTTCTTGCTGCCTGTTGTTATGCAGCCCAGCTTTGCAGCTGCGATGTTGAGCCGCCGGGCGTAAATGTTGTGAGCTGTTGACCCATTCGCATGCTGGCAAGTATGTGTCGCACCTTAAGTCGTCATGTATACCTTCCAGTATCATGCTTTGTACGTGCAAGACCCTTTGAGTGGACAGGCATGCATATGGTAACCCTTCCCACATGAACATGTGCAAAAGAAGCGATCCATCTCCAAGCACCCTATCGAGGATCTTGGAATCTTTCTTCAAATCACTTGGGGTCAAAAAAGTGCATCTCTCTTCTTTCTCTCTCGTTAAGCTGTTCCCCACCCCTGCTGGAGGGTTAACACAAACACCCCTGTTTCACCAGGCAACTGTTTGTACGCGGCCGCTCTGTGCTACTACTTGTACATCATGTCACTCGGGCGAAGCCCTCAGCCGGTGAAGCCTTCGCTTCCGACAACGGAGTTTGAAGATGCCCAATGAAGCATGGGGCGGGGGGGGGGTGAGTGTTGGGCCTCCTTTAAGCCCGCAGCCAGCTTCAACCCTTCGACAATGTCCTTCGAAATTCTTCCAAGGTACAGCGTCCTGCCCTTTTTGGAACGAACGGAGGTGATCCTCTATCCATCGGGCCAGCGCCTGAGAGGAAAACTCAGACTCAGATGCTCCTCAACAACTGCAGTTAACTGCCATGTCTTGCAGGGACTTCCTGATCTCGAGGCGTGGTCGTGCTCGCCGCGTTGGTCCTCAGTTGCCTCCGCGCTTGGGCCCTGGGATGGAGGTTGGGCCGAGGGTGTCTCATCAAAGAGAATCTACCGTTCTCGCTTGTGGCGGCTACTGCACCAGCATGCAGAACTCGATTGTAGTGCACTGCTCGTGAAAGCTGAGAGGAGGAGAGGGGCCCAAAAAACACAAGTACGAGCTAAAGAATGATGTCGTCCTTCTTTCATCATCCACATGGGAAAACTTGTGCCCCCTTTTTTGAACTCACGTTGCAGTAACAACACGGCAAGATGTGGCCCACCCGATATTCCTGACAATTAGGCCGGCTCCAGCTCTCTTTGCTGGCGCGAAAAAAAGCCTGAAACCCCACAAGCATATCTGGGAGTATTCTCACAAAGCTGCGAAGGAAGAGGTCTGCCAGTGTGGTGGTTTTTCCTCATGTTGCAATGGGAGAGAAGAGAGAGCAAAAAAAGGCACAGTTTTTGCTGAACAAGGAAAGAGCGAGAGAGAGAGAGAGAGATCATATGCCCCCACACCCGAAAGAAAGAAAGATCATATGCGAAGGAAGGAAGGACGGAGGAGGGAGGGAGGGAGGGAAGGGAGGGAGGGAGGGAAGGAAGGAAGGAAGGAAAGAAGGCAGAGAGAGAGGGAGAGAGAGAAAGAGAGCCCCCCAAGACCCACAAAATAAAACAATAAATAAAGACAGACAGAAAGACAGAAAGAAAGACAGAAAGAAAGACAGAAAGAAAGACAGAAAGAAGGAAAGACAGAAAGAAAGAAAGAACGACACAAAGCAAAAAAGAAAGAGCGAAATAACGAAAGAAAGAAAGAAAGAACGAACAAAAAGAAAGAATCAGAGAGCACAATGGTATGACTCGTACGACTCGAGTATAGAAGTAGCATGAAGTAGCGGTCCAGTCTGCGTTTATCCTTTCGCATAGTGGCGCATTCGCAGAATTCGCAGATGTGGGTCCTTTCGATTCTTCTGAGGTCAACCTGACGAACGTGTCCTACCACTATGTCGGCATGTGAGCTTGGTACCGGTTCAGGAAAAGCCCTGGATTGCAGCGTCAACGGGCAGTGGCGGTTTCACGATCTCACAAGTGTGGGTTTAGGCTTAGACGACAGGCGTCGGACGACAGCTTTGGCACAGGAGAACAAGAGAAGGAGAGGGAGGAAGGTAGACCTTGGAGACAGAGAGCAGGCATTCATAGCCGAAAACCTCTTCATGATTCTATGAACGAGACTAATGAGGGTTCCGACCGGGTGAGCAGAGTGCGTAGTTAGTTGTGCAGGTCCCTTGCACGTGATGCGCATGTCTTTCGTGTCTCTCTCACTCGCTTGCGCTGCCATGGGTTTCATGTTTGGCTGAAGTTGGGCTCGGAGGCTATCAATTCAGCTACGTCTCTCTCTCTCCAAATGTGAGAGGGATCCCCCTTCCCAACTTGCGGCTGTGCGGAAAAGGTTTGCTCAGCTCTCTCGCGGCCTTAGGCCTTTCTAGGCGAGATCGGCGAGATGTCTCATGGGGAGCGTCGGAGGGCGGGCCAAAGAAGTGCCGAAGGCGAAAGCCCACCCCGGACCGTGGAAGGCACGATCACGTCAGTGCGAAAGCACAACGGCGTCGCTCCACCAGACTTAGCGGGCCGGAGCGTGAAGCTGAAGGTCATAAAGCGAGCTGACAGAAGCAAGGATGCCGTACAAGCACTGCCTTGCATACCTGATCATGTCACGCCGCCAAGCTATCGAGCTTCGCATGAAGTTCCGCATGAAGCGCATGAAGCTCCAAATGAAGCTTCGCACGAAGTTGAAGTTTTGCATGAGGCTGCACGTGAAGCATTTCATCCTCCGCCAGCGCCAATTATTAGCCTGACAAAGGAGGAGGACGCCAGTGACGTGCTGCCTGTTGAGCAAGAGGACACCGACCAAGTGGATGAGTTACGTGATATCGAGCAAGGCCTCAACAAGCCCAAGCCAGCAAGCTTGACACTCATAGACTCTCAGGACACCGAGAGGCCGGTCATGCCTACACCCACAGATCCAGAGTGGGCAAATATGATGATCAAAGTGTTGGAGAAATTGCACTCGCATCAAAAGTTTAGGAAAACTGCCTTGCGAGCCCGCCGTCGGTACAAATCAAACTGGTGGTTGGCATTCCGGCTGTCTTTCTGGATGCTGGTGATCGGTGGTCCTGTCATTGTGTATCCCGTGGCCGAGTTCTTCAACACCTGGGGCGATCGGAGCAGCAAATATATGGCCAGCTTCGGCGTGGCGATGCAGAACTTTTGTTATTTGCTTGGGCCTTCGCTTGGTGCCTCGGTGCGCTATTCCCTGGAGGGCTTCATTGGGACGATGCTTGCGCTCGGGAACGTCCTTCTGATGAACCGGGCTTTCGGTTCGTACCTGAAAGGCGGTGCTTTTGCTACCCGCCAGGAGGTGACGGACCTCGCCCTCGGCCGAATCATTTACGCCTCCGAGTGGCTGCCCCTGTGCAACCTAGGCAGCGGAGAGCGCTTCGTTCAGACCAACAGCACGGCGGAGTTCCTGCGGGAGTGCTTCATGAACGTCCACTGGAGTGCCGTGGACGAGGGGAGCTTGAGGGCGCTGATCATCCTGGGAGACTTGGCCCTCTTCACGGGCATCTTCCTCTACATTGGCTTCGGCACCTGCGTCCGTGTCTACGCGCTGATCTACGTGCTCTACTGGGCCATGGCCTTTGTGGATCCCTCCTCGCCGGCTTTCAGCAACGATCCAAGCGATCCTTGGACCCAGAGCATCATGACCTGTGCCGGTGGCTTCATCGCGGTGCTGAGCCAGCTCCTGCCCTGCCCAAACGACGCCCTGAGCAAGGCCACCAAGAGCAGCACGGAGCTCGCCGAGACGCTGAGCGCCGTCTTGGAGGCGCTGCCCTTCGCCACCACCCCCGAGGTCAACCTGGCCATCCAGCCGCTTAGTTACACGAACACTAACACTATCGTGCTGAAATTCTGTTGAGCAAGCTGCTGGTTGAGCACAGGGAGTTAAAGAACGTCAAAGACCAAGGTCGTCTATAGACGGGACCAGAGAGTGGTTGTCAGATATTGAGGGGCACCTGTCCTTCGCGTGGTTTGAGGACAGAATGCGAATGCTTCCTTGTTTTGTTTCCACACGTCCCTGCTTTCAGTGCGGCACAGCGGCACAACTTCTTCCCTGGATAGGACTTCGGCTTCTTACCATCACGTTGCCGGAGGCGGAAGAAGCTGGAGGCCTACACAGAACTCATGGCCGCGCTCTTGCAGCACGCTTCGATGGCCAACCGCTTGGCGGCAAAGAGACTCGGCACCAGAAATACCAGATGATACCAGTGTCAGCATGTCTGTCAGACCTGGGAGCGTTCCATTTCTTTCCATGTCTCGCACTTTGTGCAAAAAACTGAGGATGCCGCAGTCGAATGCTCAAATCATGGGGGCTACGCTGCCCTCTCTCCTGGACGTGTGCAGTGCTGCCGCAAGGGCATTACCGGTCCCCGGCACGACCATCGACGTGAGTGCAGCAGAGGACTTTGAGGAAGCCGCTTGGCTTCCTTAAGAACTTTGTAGCGTGCAACACTGATTAAGTACCAGTAGGACATGCTCCCGATACATGGTGATGCACCGCGCGGCAACATGCCCCCGCAACGTCATGGCAACGCGTCTCAGGCTATGGGCACAATGAAGACCGAGTTTCCGAAGGCTGTTTCCCAGACAGTGCTCAGCGGAGATATGATGAGCTTTGCGCTGGGTTTATGCACAATCGCATCAGGCGCGTGTGGGGGATCTTCCAGGGATGCAGTATGTATAAGGCGCACATAGGCGCACGGATTGGCAGGCGGCATGTTGTTGGCACGTTTCACAGTCACAACCTCGTTCCTCGAGGAACGATCTTGCGTCTCAAAGTGTTGGACACTGCTGTGTACGGCACAACCTGGAACCCTTTGAAGCCACTCAGCCGCAGCTCATACTCAAGGTGCTTGTCGCCAATGAGACTCTGCTCAGGTTTCTGTCTGATCTTGGAAACAGACTGGAGCTGCCGCAGACTCGATCCTTGCCTATATACTGTACAGTAGACTCTTAATTAAGCTCTTCTGTCTTTCTTCGGTGTTGTATATAGTTTGGCAAAGACCTTCTGAACTGAGAATCCACTTTCTATCAGAATCCGTACGTACTCCAGGACATGACCTTGACCTCACAACTAAAGTCCAAGGAAACTACCCATCACACTTGCGCTTCGTGGCTCGAAGCACGCTGGCGATGGTATTGGCTTTCTTGTTTGGCTGGGTTGGTTTGGAGAGAATGCTGAATGCCTACACGTCTGGAGCGTCAGCGACAGTCGCCACGGTCGTGTCTACTACCACGGGTGCTGGGTTCTCTCTGGGCTTGATTACACGACGCCTGAACGCGGTGGTTGTCGGTACAGTCTTGGGGCACTCTCTCGGCCAAGTTCTGGCAGTCAAGACAGAGTTCCATGCAGCAGTCTTCGCAGTGTGGTTGTGGTTTTACGCATTTGTGCTGACTTTCCAGATACTTCACTCAAAAGCGAATGCCGGCGTTGCACTTCCCACCTTGGCAATTGGCGTGTACTCTTTGGTGCCTGCAAGCGGTGTGTTCCGGGACTACAATTCCTCAATTGACCTGGGGGCTGAGTTGTACTTGGCCTCGAGTGTGAAGGCAGCCGTTCTAGGAGGAGCAATCATGCTGACTTTGGATCTGCTGCTCTTCTCGAGTGCTCGAAGCCTTGTTCAGTATCAGCTGAAGCACACCCTGAAAAAGTCCATGGGGCTACTCTCCAGGGTCATGGGCCTGAACAGCACGGACAAAGGATCCGCCAACGCAGATGGATCTTCAAATGAAGAGACTCTCGTCTTGCGACATCTTGATGATCTGAAGAGACTCTTGCCCAGTGCCGCGGACGAGCCAGCCCCCCGAGGAATTGAGTTTCCGTATGAACTCTTCGTAAACCTCGAGGGCTCCTTCCGTACAATTGTCTCGGAGCTGGGCACGCTCGAGTGGCTCTTCACAATGATCGGCGAGTCAGCGGCATCGGTCTTGTCAGACAACCAGGACTTCAAGTCGCTTCTGCTTGAGATGGAAGAGTACTTCACAACGGAGCTCACCAGCGTGGACGTGATGTTGAAAGATCTCTACAAACGAAGGCTGCAGGCATCAACCTCCGACACCTCGGACGACACCGGTGCCGCCGCAAGCCTTCGACATTCCATCTTGGAACGAGGCTCTGAAGCCTTGAGGTCCGCGGCCTCGACTCCCAAACCCAGCCACGTGACCCGGAGATTGTCTGGGCTCTTGGAGGCAGTGGGAAACCGAAAGCAGACCTTCCAGCAGCTGGTCGAGAAGATGCGAAAGGTCGCGAACACCCACCGTGGAGACGACCCGCTCTCGGACTTGCTCTCCCAAGTCGAGATGCTCCTGAGCGCACTGCACACCTGCAGCAAGGCGGTCATCAACATCCAGACCGCCCTGGCGCAGTACGGCTAGTTCTCGCGGAAAGGGGAAAAAGCGGCTTAGCAATGGCTAGTACAGATGCGAGATGCTCGAAGACTCGAAGACTCGAAGATAGCGGAGACAAAGTTTCAGAAGTTCTCTATGCCCGATTCCAATTCATGCGCTTTAGTCGGACCCCGAGTCAAGGCTTTTTGCATGGAGCTACAGCCTGCTCGGGAAAGGCCTTCCTAAGGAAGGTGGGTTTCACCCCGCACCTGCACGAACCGAGATGCACGATCGGAAAAGTACTGTGCGCAAGCATTGCAGCTTCTCCGTTCTCCGAATGTAGACATCTCACGCCCTAGAAAGGAGTTGGCACGCTCCCCCCAAACTTGGGAAGAAATCATATCCTATATGAGGAGCACTGGAAACATAAGACTGGACTTGACCGGGATTCTCGTGAATGGCACGCAAGTTCGCATGCGTTACGTAAGGCTTCGTGACGCAGATTCAGATGAAGACCGGCTTTGTTCCAACGTTTCCGTCTCGTGCGCAAGTTCGTCTCCTCAGCTGCTGTTTGCGAGCATTAGCCAGCATTCGCAGCATGGGCCATGGATGAGCACGGGTCGCATGTGATGCCCTGACGCTTGACCACTCTGGCTTGTCAGCCAAAAGGTCTGGATCCAGTTGTAGAGAGCGATAGAGCGAGAGTTTGACATAGCGAGAGAGGAATGGTGCTTGTGATCGCAGGCATGAAAAGAAAGAATCGAAAGGATTTTTTCATCACATCCTTTCCACCACAGGATCCACAGGGCCTTGCGTGGCATAGCATCATGGATTGCTAGGTATGGCAGCAGCAAACTGATGTGAAGATAAAACGGCGCCACACCTTGTGCTTCGACCAGCTTCAACAGCTGACGCCTGGATCCAGGCTTGGTGGATCAAGTGGGTAATGATAAGAGAACAGGGTTCATTTGATCCACAGTGAGACAACAACAATGAGACTCCATACGCACGATCAGCACCTGCGGGTCAAGGCACAAATTTCAGACAAGCTGGAGGAATCGTTCTGTTCCTCTCTTGGGAGCCGACGGCTGCACGTGCGAGTCGTAAGGGAAACGGATGGTGGTCTCGGAGCCGAACGTGGTTGCATAGCTATTCCGTGGCGCATCGAGTGTTGGAGCTTGCGAGAGTTGTCGTTTACAACCTTTCTCTCTAGTGTTCAGGTGGGTCAATCAGCGACCCCGACCCTTAACTGGTATGCAATTCAATAAGTTAAAGGGCTCCGGGGGTGGGGTCCCTTAAAGATTGAGTCTACCCCCCTCCCCCATGCAGGGTTGCGGTACTTGATTTCAGGGGAGGGACCCCCCCCCGTGCCTTGGACGCTTGACGTCTATTCTGCGCGTGCTCTTTGTTGTCTTGGATTCTTCCCGAAAAAACCAATTCTGAACTTGGCTTCAACGCGGAAGGCGTTCTATCGAAAAAGGAGGGTCGGACCGAAAGAATGTTGACGGGAGGCCGCGGAGACAACACGGTCAAGGGAGGGGTTCGGAACATTTTGCTGGGAGAGGGGCGTGGCATGGGGAGGCGTGGACCATGCATAGAGGTTGACGGACGGGTCGGGGGGGGAGCGCGGATGGGGACGTGACATCTGATTGGCAGGGGAGTGCAAACGTGGACGCCCCTCCGCGCCCTCCGCACCCTCTGCGCCCTGCGCGCCCTCCGCGCGCTCCGCGCGCTCCTCGCCCTCCGCACCCTCCGCGCCCTCCGCGACTCCCGCACCCTCCGCGCCCTCCGTGCCCTCGCGGAGGGCCCTCCGCGCCCTCCGCGGCGCTCCGCGCCCTCCGCGCCCTCCACGCCTCCCGCGCCCTCCGCGTCTGCACCCTCCGCGCCCTCCGCGCTCTCTGCGCCCTCCCTCTGCGCCCTCCGCGCCCTCCGCGCCCTTCGCGCCCTCCGCGCCCTCCGCGCCCTCCGCGCTCTCCGCGCTCCCGCCCAGGACACAGTGTTCTGATGCTAAGGGTGCATTGCGTCCATTCCGCGGGTGCGTTGCGTCTATCCGGCGGGTGTTTCCTTTGTAAAGTATTTGTTTACAATTTACAAGGCACGCACGTGCAGCATAGCCTTGAAGTGTCCATCTTACGACCCCCGCCTTGGCTTCTCAATCGTTCCTTGGGCTCTGAGAATCCAAGCTCCCTATCCGCTTCGGCTTTTGGCGTGAGGTTTAGTGTTTCCGGCTACATGTTTAGAGTTTGAGTGACGATTCACTATGCCAAGAGCACGCTGCAGACACTCAGCTCAGCACTGTTGAGAGGCTCCTCATCGATCCAGGGTGCATGAGCAGACACGGGGACATGCTTGCAATCTTCTGCTGTGCAGGGTTGGGCTTGGGTTGTCTAAGCTTGCTTCAAGTCAAGAATTTTCAGGGGGCTAAATGAAAGCTGCTCTGAAAGCTGACAGTTCTTTTGTGAGATCCGTGCTTCGACTTGGTTCTGGTGCACCCTCTGATTCGATGCAGATCGAGCCATAGAGCGCAAAACACAGGTAGCCCTCGAACGGTAGCACCATCACAAAGTCACGCCTAACCGCGCACCATCGCAAAGTACTCTCCGTTTTGCCACTAGCAGCTGTGCATGCGCACGTCTCCCCTCTCTTTAGGCCCCCCCCCCCCACCTTGCAGGCTTCTTGTTTCGACTTGTCAGATGCCATCGTTCATTGAGCCCTGAAAATCCAAGCTCCCAATCCGCTCACCCACTTGCACACTGACAGGGTTGGGCAAGAATTTTCAGGGGGCTCATTCATCCCTCGCAAATGTGTTGCTTTGCTGGCCGGCGTTTGTCTAGCTTTCGTAGCCCCAATCTCAAGTCATGATGGCACTCAGCCGATGCGTTTGGCTTTCAGTTGGGCGCTATTCAGCTGCACCAAGCCGCAGGCACGTTCTACAGGGGGCCGAAACACAACTAGGAGACGTCATTGATGAGCCCGTCCTAACAGAGCACCCTGCCAGGTGGCAAATCTTTCGGTTGCTGCTTTGACAGGCTGGTTGCCGGAATAGCATTCTTGACTCCGGTACTTCCAGTTCAGTTTCTTTATCTTCGTGTTGGAATCATGCTTTCCTTGTCGACGAGGCGCAATGTCAGATTCTGAAGATCACCCGGCGGCCAGTGCCACTTCCCAGGTGCGCTTGCAGTGACAAAGGAAGCCAAAAGAGAAATGCCTAAAGCCAAAATCTTTCACCGTGGGGAACATTCTTCCATTTGTTTGAGTTGGGATCCGGAGTTGACAGGCCGAAAGGCTACAGCTGGAGGCGGCTCGGCAAAACTTGGTCTTCGAGCAGAGCTTCGCCTTTGATTTTCGTCACATTTGTCGTTGCCGTAGCGTCTCCCGGTCTGGTCTTCCGTTGTGGTTCGTGGTGGTTGGGTCCGAGAGTTCTTCCAATGAAAAGTTTTGTACATTAGTTGCGCCTCCCAAAAAGAACGTGGTTTTGTGCGTTTCCGTTCTGGCAGGTTCTCAGCCCATTCTGGCCTTTGAGCACAGGGCAGTGGGGTGCGCTTGTGAAATTGCCCAGGTCGGCAATAAAAAGGGATTCCGATGATGAGGCATACATTGGCTTCATGGGAGTTTCAGCATTTGGCTCTCATGGCATGCAGGCCTCATGTCCCCCCCGCGGCGACAGACCTGGGCGTGCCGAGTGGCGCCGAGCAGCAGGCGCTGGAACATTGTGGGATGCACCATGATGCAGCATGATGCAGCCCAGCACAAGACAGTGCCCGGGGGCCACACCAGCCCCAATATTCGTGAATTTTGCTGTTGCAGCTCTTTTCACCAATGAAAGGGATGTTTTGCCCCGCAAAATAGGTCTTTATTATGCGGGGAAAAAAGAAGAAGAAAAGATAAGATTTGGCCGGCATTGTAGAGAAAGGATGAGAAAGCGAAAACGCGTGAAACAACAACGAAAGCACCATGAGTCAGAACCCAATGGCATAGACATGATTCATGCCTTTCTTGGCCCGAATAAAAGGAACTTTCAGAACACTGTAGACGTAAGAACCTATCATATCCTTAGAGGTTTGTCGCATGTCCCCCCCCTTCGTGCTCGTAGGGTTTGGTGAGGGCCCAGTTTGTCGTACTTCCCCACGAAGGGTGACATCATAAGCAACTATAGCACCCCATCTGCGCCCTGATGACCAAATAGCTCGCGCCACGGCTCAAGCTATTTGGTCGCAGGGGAAACATACATGGTGCTTTAACACGTGAAAACACAAGTTTTCAGGGCTGGTCGCGGGGGCATATTTACAACCCTTAGGGAATGCGTTTTACTGGTCGCAGGGGCATCTTCACAACCCGTATAGAGCCACGAGTACGTTACCAGCACAGGTTTTCGGGTTTCATCGTAAGCAACTAGCACCCCATCTGCGCCCTGATGACCAAATAGCTCGCGCCAGAGCTCCCCCCTCTCCCCCATACAACGGCCAACTTGCAACGAGAAGTTTGCCACACGAGGCTCCGAGGCATGACGGTTTTTGCTTCTTTGTAAACCTTTGTATTTCCCAAATGCCCGGAAACCACTCCGCGCACGCTTTCTCGATGTTTTCCATGGTCGGCGATGTCGGCGCTTGTGTCTGTGATTGCCAAAAGTAAAAAAAACCCGGGGTCCACGCAGGTCCGTTCCCATTATTCACCCGACTCTGCTTGCTCTGCGAAAAGGTTCTGGAACATGTTGAAACACCCCAGACGCGAGCTATTTGGTCGCTGGCCCGAGCCATCAGCACCCAAGTCTTCTGGACCGAGCGTGTTCAACTAGCATCCAATAGCACCCAAGTTTTGGGGACCAAGCGTGTTCAGCTAGCATCCTGCTTTTGGGGACCGAGCGTACTCGAACAGCACCGTGTTCAATGTACTCAAATGGCACCCAAGTTTTGGGGACCGCTCTTTCAGAACACTGTAGAAGTAAAAACGTATCCCGTCGAGGTTTGTCGTATGTCCCCTCCCTTTGTGCTCGTAGGGTGTGGTCGAAGTTGGTCGTATGTCCCCTCCCTTCGCGCTTGTAGGGTGCCCTTCTGCGCCCTGATGACCCTATAGCGCGCGCCATGGCTCGAGCCATTTTGACGCCGGGGAAACATCTATTCTAGTGTTCTGCGCCCAAAAGCCTGTGCTGGTAGCGCAATCGTGGCCCTATAGCGCGCCTGCATTTTGAAACAGTTGCAACAGTTCGTGCTGAATCGTGGCCCCGTAACCTGCCTGCACTTTCATGTGGTCTCCTGATAGTGTGGGGCCCCCTCCCCCCAAATTAATTCCGCCCCCGCAATAGTAACAACAAAAAAGGTACCCCCCCAAACTAATTTTCGGCCCCGGGCCCCCCCCCCCGGCTCCTCTTCATTTCCTCTTGGCTCTCTCTCCTCTTCCTCTCCTCTTCCTCTCCTCTTCCTCTCCTCTTCCTCTCCTCTTCCTCTCCTCTTCCTCTCCTCTTCCTCTCCTCTTCCTCTCCTCTTCCTCTCCTCTTCCTCTTAGGCAATGTTGAACCAAGGTCCCAATTTAATAGTAAATTTGTAAACTAGTGCACGAAATTTTCTATAAAATTGGGGGTTTCGTTCATAATGTTCTTTGTGCCGTGCGTTCTCTCACTTCGTTCTTTCCTTACGCACTTCATCACATTATTCTCTTCACTTAATAGTAAAACAAGATGAAGAGAGAAGAGAATTCACGAACTAACCCTTGATTTGTAAGGTCTTTGGGGCAGTTACAATATTAATATCTTGACAGGCGAACTCACGAAGCTAACCTTTGTATCTAGCTCATTGAGGCAGTAACAATAAGCCCTGGAAACCTGTGCCTCATTCTTGGGTTCACATGTACACCTTAAGACTTATTATGTGGTCCAGAGGCAAAGGTAAGACAAGGTGACACAATAAGTGAACGAGAGCTCTTCTTCACGGATCACCAGTGAAATAAACTAATGTCCCAACTTAATAATTCCTAGCTTCGTGAGTTGGTACGTCCATGTGGTTCAGTTCTTGCAAGCCTGTTTCTAGACCAACAAAGAATCATATTAAAAGAGGTGAATTCACTTAACATTGAATGGTTGGCCAAGAAATTCCTTTGTTGGGTGTTTTGTTGGACAAGTTTACGAAGACAATAAGTGCGCACATTATTAAAGGGGGAAAAGTAAAAGAGAAGTGAATATAGTTGTAGTGCGTGTACTTGCAACATTCGTTCGAGCGTGAACACGAAAACCGTATTATTATTAGGCTTATTTTGAGGGGCTTATTTCGATCGCTCCATTAATTATAAAGTTATATGCGCGGTCGAAACACGCTCCCAAAATAGTATTTTAAAGGGGCCTTTTAATGTCATTAACTTAGTGCATGAGTGAGTACATTTCATATAGAATGTGGGGGTGGGGGTGGTGGGGGAGGGTCAAGCAGTTCTGTATATTTCCATAGGAAGAAAACTACATCTTGTAAATATTTCCACTTATTTTCGCTATTTTCACATAGAAAAACCATGATTTTCTCGATATTTACAAAGGTCACGGGACAACAAACCTCCATTTTCTCTCTATGTCCATTGCACGACTTTATTTTGTCTATATGCAAAAAACGATTCATATGATTTGAAGCAAATGCACGGCTTTAAAAAAGCGGGGGGGGCGGGAGCGGGGCGGCGCGATCCTCAACCCTAAACCCCCAGGGAGTGTAGGGGCCGTCTTTGGTGTATCCAAGGGGCTTTGGGGACCCGTCTTTTTGAGGGACAGGCGGAGGTCACTCCCCTCCAGAAGCTTGCGAAGGGTCTTGTATCCTTCATAAACCGCAAATGCAGCCTGCTTTGGATATCGCGCTTCGAAATCCGCTCCAACGTCATCTAACCACGTATCTAGGGCTGTGATGCATCGAAGCTCTGCGGCTTCTTGCATTATTGGTTTCAGGTATACCCGCGCCATCATCGTCGCGAAAGGGCAGCCCGCTAGGATACGCCTGGCTGGGAGGATCCCCTCCCAGAGGAGGTCCTCCGCCACAAGGTATCTCGTACCTCTGTACGCTTGCATGACCAAAAGGGCCATAGCTGGTGGGAAACCCGACTCAACGATTCTCGCGTCGAGTTTGGCCCGGTTAACACTATCGTAAAACGTCTGCGGGCCCAACTTGAAACCTGGATTCGGCCAAGATGCCCCTCTTGGGCCCAACTTGAAACCTGCATTCGGCCAAGATGCCCCTTTTGGGCCCAACTTGAAACCTGGATTCGGCCAAGATGCCAAGATGCCGCTCTTGGGCCCAACTTGAAACCTGGATTCGGCCAGGATGCCCCTCTTGGGCCCAACTTGAAACCTGGATTCGGCCAAGATGCCCCTCTTGGGCCCAGCTTGAAACCTGGATTCGGCCAAGATGCCCCTCTTGGGCCCAACTTGAAACCTGCATTCGGCCAAGATGCCCCTCTTGGGCCCAACTTGAAACCCGGATTCGGCCAAGATGCCAAGATGCCGCTCTTGGGCCCAGCTTGAAACCTGGATTCGGCCAGGATGCCCCTCTTGGGCCCAACTTGAAACCTGGATTCGGCCAAGATGCCCCTCTTGGGCCCAACTTGAAACCTGGATTCGGCCAAGCTGCCCCTCTTGGACCCAACTTGAAACCTGGATTCGGCCAAGATGCCCCTCTTGGGCCCAACTTGAAACCTGGGTTCGGCCAAGATGCCCCTCTTGGGCCCAACTTGAAACCTGGATTCGGCCAAGATGCCCCTCTTGGGCCCAACTTGAAACCTGGAGTCGGCCAAGATGCCCCTCTTGGGCCCAACTTGAAAAACCTGGATTCGGCCAAAATGCCCCTCTTGGGCCCAACTTGAAACCTGCATTCGGCCAAGATGCCCCTCTTGGGCCCAACTTGAAACCTGGATTCGGCCAAGATGCCCCTCTTGGCCCCAACTTGAAACCTGGATTCGGCCAGGATGCCCCTCTTGGCCCCAACTTGAAACCTGGATTCGGCCAAGATGCCCCTCTTGGGCCCAGCTTGAAACCTGGATTCGGCCAAGATGCCCCTCTTGGGCCCAACTTGAAACCTGGATTCGGCCAAGATGCCCCTCTTGGCCCCAACTTGAAACCTGGATTCGGCCAAGATGCCCCTCTTGGGCCCAACTTGAAACCTGCATTCGGCCAAGATGCCCCTCTTGGGCCCAACTTGAAACCTGGATTCGGCCAAGATGCCCCTCTTGGGCCCATTCGGCCAAGATGCCCCTCTTGGGCCCAACTTGAAACCTGGATTCGGCCAAGATGGATTGAAACCTGGATTCCAAGATGCCCCTCTTGGGCCCAACTTGAAAAACCTGGATTCGGCCAAGATGCCCCTCTTGGGCCCAACTTGAAACCTGGATTCGGCCAAGATGCCCCTCTTGGGCCCAACTTGAAACCTGGATTCGGCCAAGATGCCCCTCTTGGGCCCAACTTGAAACCTGGATTCGGCCAAGATGCCCCTCTTGGGCCCAACTTTGTTCCTGGATTCGGCCAAGATGCCCCTCTTGGGCCCAACTTGAAAGCTGGATTCGGCCAAGATTCTTCGGCCCAACTTGAAACCTGGATCCAACTTGAAACCTGGATTCAGATGCCCTCAACTTGAAACCTGGATTCGGCCAAGATGCCCCTCTTGGGCCCAACTTGAAACCCCCTCTTGGGCCCAACTTGAAACCTGGACTCGGCCAAGATGCCCCTCCAGGGCCCAACT